ACGCCATCACATTCATCTTTGTTCGTGATATACAAATAGTTAATACGTTCATACAACCCAAAAACTAATCATAAGAACCACAAAATAAAAAAGTTACCACAAAAATTACATCAATATGTATATTTTATGTTGTCTTTGTACGTTTGCAAATTTACATCGTGTAAACAAAAAATTATGCCTGGTATACATTTGATCATGCTTATGTTGATTAAAATAACGGCACCTAGAAGATTTTTCACGATGACGCTGAATAGCTTAAGTATTTGATTTATGTCTTTTCATGTATTGTTGCACATTGTACACAGGCCCAGTGTCTGCTTATGTTTTTGAGTCCATTAGTACATGTGTTAATAGCAAAACACCTATAATGCGCATTAGCCTTCACGATTGTGTATCAAGGAAAAAAGAAAGTGTGCTATGACAAAATAGTGCAATCCTTAAAATCCTCTATAGCGAAGCTATATCGTGCTATAGTGAGCTATCACGCTATAATGAACGATTGTACACTGATTTCATTTAGTCAGACATTGCTCAGAAGAGAAGCTAGAAGAGAACGCTATAGGGTACTGTTTTTTTCATTGTTATGTACAACGTTTTGCTGAAACGCCGTAGTACCTGTTTCAAGGCCTTTTTAGGGTCTTTTAAGGTCAGCCCCCAAAAAAGCAATAGCTAGCTAGTAGAGTGCAGCATCACAGTCACAGCGAACTGGTCCAACCGGCGATGAACCGCTCCGAGACAAGGACCAGCCACCCCGTGATAATATATACTGTATACAGCAAACGAGCTACGAGCAAGCAAATTAGGAGATGGCAATGGTGGACGTCGATGCTCCCTTTCTTGAGGATAAGGAAGAGCCGCTCGGCGGCGTCTGCGACTTCCGCGGCCGCGCCGTCTACCGCGCCACCTCCGGCGGGTGGCGATCCGCCCTCTTCCTCGTCGGTATGCACTGCATGTCCTAGAGCTAGCTAGCTGCTCACTAGATCTAGTTAACTAACTTGCCAGCGATACATGCAGCGGTGGAGGTCGCCGTCATCATCGCCTACTACGGCGTGTCGGCGAACCTGATCACGTACCTGACGGGGCCGCTCGGCCACTCCAACGCGGCGGCGGCCACGGCAGTGAACGTCTGGACGGGGACGGCCAGGCTCATGCCGCTGCTGAGTGCCTTCGTCGCCGACTCCTGGCTGGGCCGCTACCGCTCCATCATCCTCGCATGCACCCTCTATGTCCTGGTAATTAATGAAATCACCCTGTTACCAATTTGGGTTAGCTTTTCTTAATGGCTGCTTGGGAAACGACGCCTGGACGTACAATATAGACATATTCAGGCACATGACAAAAACCGGTGCTACGAAATTACTTCAATGAAAACGTTGACTCGTTACAAATAAGATAATCCACCTTGATAGTATAAACAGAACGTCAAACCTAGAATTACCTGTTCATCCAGCTGTTTGGTTTGTTAGGCCTGTCTTAATTTCAAATTAATGCACCAGCACCGTACAGTTGAGTAGGCCACTACTTGACATGTCAAACTCGTCTATTTAAAAATCCAGTCGACCTAATTAATCATGCTCAACCCTCTTTATTCCCGCACAAGAAAAGATCCCAGTCTTTTCTCTTCCTCCCGTCGGCGTCGCCGGTCCGCCCCATCTCTGATGGCCTTTGGACCATGGAGGTGCGGAGGACCTCGGCGCCTCATGGGCGGGAAGGAACCCACACTTTTTTCCTTGTTAGGTTCATCGACTTGGTTGAGCATGTGTGGCGGTGGTGATGTCCCTCAATTGGAGTAATGTATCCCACGTTCTATCCCCATCCCCATGTTGCATTTAGCGTCGCCGGAGGGCGTGTGAAGGTGTGTCTTGTCGGATCTCGCATGATTCGATCGGTCCTGGTCTTTCGTGGATCTGTTTGGATCAGGTCTTCGTTCTTCTTTGTTTTGGTGTTTACAAGTTTGATCATTTCCATCCACGGCTTTCTTCATAGGCGATGGTTGCTCCTCTTGTGCATTAGTCCTATGAGGCCTTAGTACAACGACTCTCTGATTGCCTACTAAAACAAGGTTTGTCCCGCTCTGGCAACGGATGGGTGGTGTTGGCGGCGCGCCTTCGGCTGCCTCCAGTGTTCATAGTAGTCGCTAGGTGGTCTACGGACCTAGTTGTGATATTTATTACCTCTGGTTTGTACTGCCATGATTGAACATGAGAAAAAATAAAAATAAATTATACTCGATCAAGTGCGACCCTGAGAGCAAACAGTGAAATGATGGTCGATTTCGATGTTGGAAACTCACTATGACTAGTACTTACTACTTCCTCCGTCCCACAATATAAGACATTTTTACAAGTTGAAACTAACATTTATTTCGATGTTGGAAACTCACTATGACTAGTACTTACTACTTCCTCCGTCCCACAATATAAGACATTTTTACAAGTTGAAACTAACATGAAAAAAATGTCTTATATTGTGGGACAGAGGGAGTATGTTTTAGACCATGCATGCCTTTTTTTATGGGAAGATGATGTATATTCCACTCATATACTGTATTAAATTGGATAAATACGAAGAGACAGAAAAACCAACACAAACACGAAAACTATGTCTTAAACAACTATACAAGTACTAGAAGTCTCCCGTAAAAATAAAATTAAGCCCTAGACGTACATTAGCACCTGCCAATCCATGGTGTTCTGCCTTCTTGGTTGTCAGTACACACTATGCTAGCTAGTCGGCCCCAATTAACTTCAAGAAAATCTGTATCAATTGGGCGAGGTCATCAATGTCGCTATCAGACCTCATATCGCCGAAGTTTGTACGAATTATTTCCCTATGTTTGTAATTGGGCATTTTGCTCCAAACTGTATAGCAATATTTTTTTAATCACATAAAAATATTTTTTAAATCGAATGTAGTTGTACTATAATCAACATAGTTTGAGATTATTAGTGATAGCTTTAAGTACGCCTTAGCTTTTAGTATGGCTGGTAATATGTGCATTTCACACCAAGAAGTGCTTCTCGACCATTTATTCCACAAACACTCACAAGTCTAAATTACTAATCTACATGCAGGGCTATGGCATGATCACTCTAGCATCCACACTCCTGTCTCAGCGACCGTCTGCATCCCTTGACAAAGACTCCTCGTCTCCGCCTTTTTCGCTGGAGGTGTGCTTCTTCTATGTCTCCCTCTATCTCATCGCCCTCGCGCAGGGTGTTGGCAAACCTTGTGGCCTTGCCTTCGCAGCAGATCAATTCGACCCCAACCACCCTAGGGAGTTCACTACCCGGAGCTCCCTCTTCAACTGGTGGCACTTCTCCCTAGGGAGTTTCGCCGTCATCGTTGTCAGCTACATCCAAGAGAATCTTGGTTGGGGAATTGGCTTTGGCACGCTCTGCGCCGTCATGATTTGCGCTTTTGTCGTCTTTCTTCTTGGCATTCCCACCTACCGTCTCCATGCGCCTATCAATGGCTCTGATAACCCTTTTGCTCGTCTTGGTCGTAGTGTCTTTGCACTTGCTAGGAACTCAAGCTTCTGCTTCTATGCTAAAAGACATCATCATGAAGATGAAGATGTCGCAACCAACTTGGAGGAGGCATGTTGCGTGCTACAACTACTGCCAATCTGGGCGACATGCCTAGCTTATGGTGTGGTGATCGCGCAGATCATGACACTTTTTAACAAGCAGGGCCGCACCCTAGATCGTCATATTGGTGGCCTAGAGCTACCTCCGGCCACATTGCAGGCGGTCTGGCCGGCAGCTGGCTTGCTATTTGTGCCCATCTATGACCGTGTTCTAGTTCCGGCACTACGTTGCATGACGGGCACCCCATCGGGGATTGACGCTCTTGCAGCGAGTAGGTACGGGCATGGTTGTGTCGATGGTCACCATGTGTGTTGCGGCATTGGTGGAGACCCAAAGGTTGGAGATGGCACGGAAGAACAACCTAGTTGACAACGCCAAGGCGACGATACCGATGAGCTGGGCATGGTTGGTTCCACAGTATGTGATGATTGGGGTGGCCGACGTGTTCGTGTTAGTCGGGATGCAGGAGTTCTTCTATGACCAAATGCCCAGTGAGCTTCGCAGCCTTGGCATAGCGCTCTTCTATAGCGTGATGGGAATCGGCGGCTTCATCAACGGCGCTCTCATATCACTCATTGACCACATCACCCGCAGCGGTGGGGGTGAAAGTTGGTTCTCTGACAATCTCAATCGCGCCCACCTCGACTACTTCTACTGGTTGCTTGCTGGCCTAAGCACCGCCGAGCTTGCGCTCTATATCTACATCACCAGAAGATATGTCTACAAGGAAAAGAGAGTCAGTTCAGAGTGACAACCTAGCACTAGCACTTGTACGCATCGATCATATGATATGTTGTATGATCTGCAAATAAATTTTCACTCCATTGGACTATGGTCACTTATGTGATACTTGAAGAATGTATATCTTTGATTGGTTTATGAAACCAATTTCATATTTATTTTATTTTTTGTGTTGAGAGACACTTGGCTTTATAATAACCTTGATGGCATATGCCAGAAACCTACCATTTTTTCGTCCACTAAGAAACATTGTGACATAAGATGTACTATAAGCTGATTAAAGCCATAGTCGTAGCTATGGCTACCATTTTTGTGTGAAATATTTTATGCCCAATCTAGCAATGATTTTTTTAAAAAAAAATCTGGTTTGGCTTCTTTGTTTTCGATCAACTCATTTCGCATTTGATATTTTGTTAAGGTTTTATTTCTGGGAATGGCTATTAGCCGGTTTACCCATTCTAAATGTTATTCTTATTTTTGTTTGTGGCATTTCTGTTTATACCTTTTTTAACTTCTTTCCTTTTTTTCTTTAAAGAAATAAATTTTGAATAATATATATGTTTTTCAGATACATGCTATGGCATTTAAAAATTGTCAACAATTATTAAATTTCACAAATATTTTTTCAAAATACATGAACATTCTTTTAAAGTCGTGAAAAAGTTTTGTAAATGCATGAACACTTTTGTCGTTGTGTGATAGTTTTCCCTCAAAATCTCTGAAAACGTTTTAGAATGTCTGAACACCTTTTAAACTGTATGAAGATTTTTTTCAAACTGCATGATGACTTCTGTAAAACAAGTGAACACTATTTCAGTTACATGGACGTTCTAAAAAAATGTATGATACTTTAAAACTACATATTTATCTTTTTGAAACTTCATGAACATTTTGTAATATGAGAAAGCTTTTTCGGTGACATGATCATTTTTTGGAAATGTGGAACACTTCTGTAAATTGGAGGAATATTTTCTTATATGCAGAACACTTTTTAATATTGCAGGAATATTCTTTTCATGTATACAGTTTTTAATATTATGCAAAATTAATTGTTACATGAGCAATTATATAAAACAGACCCTGGTTTTTTTATTTGAATCATAAATTTGTGAATTCGTACCCTCATGACTAGTACGTGCAGGCATTCTATCGACCAGCCGTTCATGAAAGTTTGTCTAACATGCAAATTAGTTGGCCGGCCCAGTTATACTGTTTTAGTTGTCCCCTATTTCTCGAGAGCAACTAATTAACGAGCGCTCCTTCGGGAGCCTCGCAATGATCAGCGCCATTTAGCGCGCTCTCAGCCATTCGCCACATCTCGTGCTCTGGGCGCTCCCTTCAGATTTTGTTTTTTATTTTTACGCACATGTTTTCGGATTTTAAACTGTTTTTTTTTGTTTTTTCGACGTTTTGGTTTTCCACCGGTCTTCCCTAGCTTTTCGACCAAAAGAAATTTTCGAAGAAAAAAATTCTGCGAAAAAACGCATTTTTTTGCGAGGGGCACGGTGTTGCTTTCGCGAGAGTCACGGCCGTGCCTCTCAGAAACAAAAAATAAATGTGTTTTCTGTCTTTTTTTCCTTTCGCGAGAGTCACGGCCGTGTCTCTCGGAAAAGGAAAAAACGCGTTTTCTGTTTTTTTCGCGAGAGTCACGGTTTTGCTTCCGCGAGAGGCACGGTTGTGCTTTCGCGAGAGTCACGGCCGTGCCTCCTCGAAAACAAAAAAAAACATGTTTTTTGTATTTTTTTCTCTTTCGCGAGAGTCACGGTTTTGTATTTGCGAGAGGCACGGTTGTGATTTCGTCAGAGGCACGGGCGTGCCTTTTTCGGAAAGGGAAAAAACCCGTGCTCCCGGTTTTTTCATCCGTATTTTTCGTCCGGTTTTATTCGTAAAAAAAAGTTCGTCAAAACCTATCAACATGGGATCTAGTTTTGAAGATCTCGACGTGAAGAATCCAACTGCAAAAGCGGTTCCAGATTTGAGCGCACGGTTTAAGAGATAAAACATTTTGAATAAACTGATCTACGAAAAAAGGGAAAACTCCCAGGTAGCGACAAGTGGCGCACATGCAGCGTGCCACTTGTCGCAACCTGAGGAAGTTGGAGTGATCTTCGCAACGAGTACTCCTTAACTAGTGATTCGCTATTTCTCGCTGCAAAAGGTAAATGGCAGAGGTCTAGGGGCGGGCCTATGTCTCGCTTATAGTGAGACGTAGAGCAGCCATGCCTGGGCAACCGGGACACTAGCCGGCCGAGCGCGTGGGAGACCACATGCCACATGCCATAACCTCATTTTTTTTTCTATTCCTTTTTCACGTTTTTTGTTTTCTATTTTCATTTTTCTTTTACTCTTTTTACACTTCCAAATTCTCTAAATATATACAAAAAATAATTTTACATAAAACATTTGAAAAATGTGAAACAAGCATTTGAAAACTGGAAAATGTGTACAGAAAATATGTTTCTCATGTATACAAAAAAATATAGAATGTATGAAAGAAGTTGATGATGAATTCTAAAAATATAAATGAAGCATTCTAAAAATAATAATCAACTATTTGTTAAATGTTAATCAATCTTTTGAAAATATTAAATCTGTATACAAAAAATGTTCTCATGTATACGGAAAAGAATAAAAAAACATAAAGTATGTATGAAAAATCTTGGACATGTATTTAGTTTTTTTAAATGTACATAAAATGTTCCTAATATATACGAGCAAATGCAAAACGTATCTCAAATAATTGTATCCGTAAAAACATATATTGAATTTTTTGATTATGTAACTAATTTTCTTTTAATATGTATATTAAAATATTCCTGTTGTATAAAAATAATGTGCATTCTCTGGGAAAATGTTTATTGCCATAAAAAAATGTTTGGATTGTATTTGAAAAAGGTTAACCACGTATTCAAATAGTGTTCAAAACTTGTATTTAAAAAATAATGTATATCTTTTATTTGAAATATGTTAACAAAAATGTTTCACATGTACACTATAATGTAGAGTACAGTATCTACCGAAAATATAGACAATTGTTGACCAAAGAAGTAACCAGTCAAACACGACAAAGAAACAAAAAAAGCCAAAAAATGAAACAAAGCAAACCAAAAAAATTTAAAAAACCCAAAGAAAACTAATGCAAAATAATGAAAACAGCCAAAACCAAAAAAGAAACAACTAAGAATGAGAGAGAAACAAAATAACATAGTACTGCAAAAAAACGAAGAACAGGTGTGAAAACAAAAGAATCATATTGTAACAAAGAAAAAAGAAAAATTGAATAAAACCATGAAGAAATAAAAATAAACAAGTAGAAAAAACAAATTAAAAAATGGGAGAGATCGCGAGCTAGCGAGCATTGCAAGCCAGCGAGCAAACAAAAACTGAGAAACGAGCATCCCATTTGCTAAAGAAAAAATCATCCAGGCGTGAGAAGCTATAGACTCGCGTTGAGCAAGAAATAGCACTCACGGAGGAAACCTCGTGTGAAGGCGGGCGCCAGATGGGCCGGCCCAGCTCGCGGGAGGCCATTACCTCACTTTCTTTTCAGTTTTTTGTTAGCCTATTTTTTTGGTTTCTTTTGTTTATACTTCCAAATATTTCGAAAGAGATGTTGTGAGCTCGAGCTCAGATACTATCGCTATCCCCATAATTAAGTCACTGCAAGATTGTATTGCATGAAGTAGATTTTTGTATTCCATCAGTCTTCTGTCTCCATGGCAACATTTGTCACCTAATAAATGCGATGTCATCTAAACTACTACGGTCGGCTTGGATGTGCTATGACGATTTGAGCCGTCTCTGTAGAGAACTGTACTTATATTCACCGCCCGTGGATATTCCAACGCATGTCAATAGGTCCAAAAGGTCAACAAACTGTTGTGGCAGATCAAAAGTTGCTTTGCATCATTTTAGTTAAAAATCATTGTGGCAGATGTATATCAAAATTTGCATGATACTTTAATTAAAATTTCCATGCTTCATATATTGGTATTTATGTAAAAGTAACGGTATTATGACCAAAGTTGCCATGGCAGATGTGTAAATTCTGCCCAGTATTTTAATGGAAAATTGACAAGCTTTTGTATAAGAAAATTGCCATGTATATGGAAATAACACACATGATTGATAAAAAAATGCCATGGAAAATGCATATTCAAATTTGGCATGCTATTTTTTACCAAATTTGCCATGCTTTATAAAAAGAAATTTGCCGTGAATAAGAAAGTAATGCAAAAATTGATCAAAAAATTGCCATGGCAAATGCATGATCAATTTGGCATGGTATTTTTACCAAAAAATTTGCCATCTTTTGCATAACAAACTTACTGCATGTGAAATAGCACAAAAATGATAAAAAAATGCCAAGGAAAATGTATATTCAATTTTGTTGTGGTATTATTTTTATCAAACTATGCTTTATGAAAATAAAATTGCCATGAATATGAAGTACTGCAAAAAATTGATTAGAAATTGCCATTAAAAATGCATGTTCAATTTTCCCATGGTATTTTTTTTATCAAAGTTGCCATCTTTTGTGCGATAAAATTGAAGTGTATGCGAAATAACACACACAAAATGATCAAAAATAGCTATGGTAAAATGCAGATTCAAAATGTTCGTGGTATATCTTATGAAATTTGCCATGTTATGTTAAACAAAATTGCCGAGAATGTGACGTACTATGGAAAATTGATCAAAAAAATTGCCATGGCAAATGCATGTTGAAATTTGCCATAGTATTTTTACCAACATTGCCATCTTTTGTGTAATAAAATTGCCGTGTATGTGAAATAACACAAACAAATGATCCAAAAATTGCCATGGCAAATGCATGTTGCCGGAGCCGGGCACGGAGATCATCGTGATCTCCGACGAGTAGTAGCTAGGATCGACGTAGTACGTAGGTTCTACTTCTTTTTTATCTCTTTGTATGGATATAAGTATCAAATATGAGATGTCCGGATGCAAGAAGCAAAATTTGAGGCGTGCCCGGTAACTTTGAAGGGC